ATGATATGCTGATGTAAAAGTACTATTATTAAAAGATGGTTGCAAAGCTTTTGAAGGTATTTGTTGACCATCAATGTATAAGCTGAAAGAATTAATACCATAGTTTTCAAAGTTAAATGGATTTTTAGTAAGGGAACTATTAAATGCAGAATTGGTCACAAATCCAATTATACATCTTTTGGGTACCTGTCCTAAAAATATATTATCAAGAGTTTTTCTTTGAACACCCGACGGAATTGTTAAAACTATTACTTCAGCTCGAGTAACAGGATATTTAGCAGTGGTAGAAGCTAAAACTTTTTGATGTGCGAGTAATACACTTGGATTAATTCGTGCTCGTCGAACAATAAGAGTTGCATCCGCAATGCAAACTTTAAACTTTACATCGTTTGACATAGCGTTAAATTAAAACTCTCTCTTGATCGAACCAATTTAACACTCATTTCAATACCATTAATTAAAAATTTATCTTGGTAGAAAATGTCACCGTGAAGATGACCAATCTAATCAATTCCTGTCTTATAATCGTATCCCCATATTTTAAAAACTGGCATAGTTAGACCTAGACAACTATAGGCCAATTACTATTTTACCCGTTATAGATAAAATTGCTGAAAAATACATTTGCATACAGGTTTATGACTTCTACGCTAAAAACAATATAATAACGGAAAAACAGTATGGCTTTCAACCAAAGAAAAATACCACCCAACTGTTATCGACCTTCACTAACAGCGTTTACAAACATTTAGATAATAAAGTCTTGGTAGTCTTTGTAGACTATACTAAAGCGTTTGATACACTTAATCATAACAAGCTAATAGACAGTCTTAATGATAGTGGTATCAGAGGACCTTTATTGTCATGGTGCAGAGATTACCTTAGTGACAGAAAATATGCGGTAAAAGTGGGTGATGCCTTTATTTATTATGTTAACTCTTCGGTAGGCACTGCACAAGGCTCTGTAATTGGACCATTGGATTACATCACCTATGTTAATAGTCTGGCAAACATCATCAGACGTTGCGAAATATACCAGTATGCCGATGATACGTGCCTCGTTGCAGCAGGCGAAAATATTGACGAAACTGGCCGCATTCTGCAAGAAGAACTTAATATATTAACACAATGGTCTCACGATAAAGGATTAGTTATCAATGCTAGCAAGACCAAGCTAATCTATATAAGTTCAAGTCACAATAGGAGTAAAGTAATACCTACCATTATTATGCATGACCACCTATGCCTTCACAAAGGACAATTGACTCTCAATTGTCATTGTGCAGAATTAGAGCCGGTAGAAACTCAAACTTACTTAAGATTTATAATAGATATTCGACTCAACTGGAAACATCATATTGAGGATGTGTGTAATAGACTTCGAAACATATTAGCAAAATTCTCCATAATTAAGAATAAAGTCCCCTAAAAAATAATAAAATTAAATACTATAATCCCCACTAACTATGTTTCCTATATTTACCTATATGATATACAACCTAAGAATAATCATTATATTCGTTTACTATTAAATATTAAGTAACTAACTAATTGATACTCCCTGTGTACGCAACGCAGGAACGACCGGTTTTTGACGCGGTGAAGTGGGCGGTGGCAAGACTCACACCTTTCTTGTTCACTACGTATGTATTGCCGATTTACCGCGTGTTGACCGTGCCAATTGCTGTTTAGTGTTTAATAGTGTTGCATTAAACATATTTTGTAGATTAAGGTGTAGCTCATATTTAAAAAAAATTATGTCGGCGGTTTGTAGTACACGGTAAAGTTTTTCATTAAGCTTATGTTGTACCATATTGTATCCTCTTTATCATGTATAATATGTTAAATAAATAAATATATAACAAATCCTATGTTTTTACCATCTTTAGAATCCATTTTTCCTGCTGTATCCTCATACCAAAGACTACAAGTAAGATGAGATTGTTTAGCAGCGGGAGCATAGTATAAAAGGGTTTCCATGTATGCTCGATATGCATAGGTATTATTAGGTGGTGATACAAATTTTTGGTTTAAATAAACATCAAGTTGACTAAAAAGTGAATGCAGCCAATTATTTACAGGTGCTACTATTGTAGTAGATATCAAGTTAGTTGAATCTTGATTTAATACTTTTGCCTTTATGTGGAGTAATGTATGAGACAAATCTATGTAGTCATCGCCTGTCCCAGGAACTTGAAACTCAATAGGTCCATCATCACCAAGAGATGAAATTGGCTTATAATGAATCCACAATCCATTTTCAATTCTAGTCTGTGTAGACGGTAGTGCAAACAAATCCAATTCTGACTTAACGCACTCACAAGAATGATTATGAAGGAAAGACATATTTAATTTGAATATATATCTATGATATTTTTTGGTTTTAGACCAAGTTTTTTCGCAGCTTTCACTTTAGCAGTTAATGGTGGAATGAATGAGGTCACTCGTTTTCTTTTAGTTTTATACCCAGATCCTGTCATGTTAAATTGATCAATTTTCTCATCAGCCTTTCGTTTTAAATTCGTACTAACTTGCTTTAAACGATCTTTTATTGAGGCTTCCATAAGACGCGCTTGAACCATATCTGATAAAAGTCCTACTCCAGCGCTTAATGCCTCCTTACCAATCACTCGAGCACCACTTGAAAGTAAAGGTAAAACTGATCTAAATAACCCCCCTAAGAAGCTCCCAATACCATGACCGCGTTGGTATGGTGAACCCTTATAAATTACTCCAACTCCTGACCCAGCATGATGTGTATAATAATTTTCATATGGACATTTATGATGATCACGAAGAAAATTCATTATTATAATTTTCGGAAATGTAGTTTAATACACACGGTTCCAAACTGGAATGGTATTTTTTGTCCTGTGCTCGATCTTATAACTATTTCCAGCGTATCTAACTCTCTTCGCATAACAGGTAAGTAGTGAGGTTGATAGAAAACGTGCATTTTATTTGCACCATAAATGTATTTTGTAGAATCTAATGAAATGACTCTTAGTAAAGGAGTCATAACATCACCCACAATCTGAGGATCGATAATGTCGCAATATAGAAATAGTTGAGATGGTAACCCTAAGTGTAAATTAGCAGAAAACTTTCCAAAATTTCTCTCTAGGAGATTTTTATTTGGTTCATAACCTGGTTGTAAACTTAATTTGGGTGATAATGTTACAGATGTTATATTTTTATCCAAAACAGAAATAAACACAAATTTTGTTATTTCATCATAGCGAAATTTCAAGTTCTCTCCGATACCATTTAACACTCTTAAAATACGCTCAACGTTATCATAGTAGCTGGAATATGTTTTTTGTAGTACACTATGGATAGTTTATTTTCATTAGGCTTTAACATAGATTTTGTAATGTATATAACATTTTCATGATCTTGAAATGTAAACATGGTACATGGATATTGAAACTCGACAACTCCAACCGACCATTCACCTTCTAATTTAATAGCTTTTGGTAATTTCGTTGAAAAATTTGTGGTCTTGTTATCAGGAAAGTATTCCATTGAACTATTGCTGAGCAAAGTTAAATAAAAACTTTCTTTATTCATATTTCTTTTAAACTAGAAGCTAAAATCCAACTGTTAAATTTATCTGGATAACCTTTCCACTTCACTAATACTTCTTTTCTGTTACCTGAGTAACGAGTGTCAATTATTTTATCTATTTTATATTGTGAGGAGGGGTTGTAAGTGATTTTCTGTAATTCTCTTTCATAAAAAGTACCAACTATTGGTTCATTTTGTAAATCTGTTATTGTATAAACAACCCATGGAGATCTATCAATTATTGAAGATATAATAAATATTTCATCACTCCAATTTGATTCATATCCTTTTTGGAAAACATGTTGATATTTAGTTATTGGAACATAATCACCCACATAGAAATTTGGTTTATGATTTTCTAAAGAAAGTTTGTTTCACCGTCTCTCATAAAGATTAGTCCAAACTGTCATAATATTGTTGGAATTTACATCACATGGGCACATATTAATACTAGAGTGAAAGCTGTGATTATAAGAGTATATTAAATCTTGTAAAACATCTATATATCTATAAGTATTATTATGAGTGAAATAACGCCACATTTTCATTTTTAGTGTTCTTTGAAATCGTTCAACAATACTGGCCTTAATGTCAGAATTGTTAGTGGTATAGTAATTAATCTTTTTAGATTTAAAGTATTTTTGTACATCTTTTGAAACAAATTCTGTACATTTATCAGATTGTATGTGAGTAGGTGTTAAATTACTTTCAGTAAATATACTTTCAAAACATTCTTTAGTTGTTTCTGAGTTTTTCTTTTTCATTGGTCTTGCAAAAGCATATTTACTAAATACATCAATAACACAAAGTATATACTTGAAACCATCATTATATTGAGAATAAGTTCGCATATCACTTAAATCAGCTTGCCACAGTTCATTAATATTTGATAGAATGTACCTATTACGCGGGAATTTTTTTCGAATGGGTTTATGTAATGTGTATGTTTCTTGTGATTTTAACCATTCCTTTACTTGCTTTTTATTCATTTTACCCTTCATGGCTTTTGATAATTTATCAATACTAACAAAACCAGCGAGATTAGATGGATCATAATAAATCCTGTTAATTTCTGTACAAGGTCCATTTTACCCACTCAAGCCGTTTACGTATTTTAGTTGTAGAATTTTTATCTCTACTGCTCGGTGTAGAAAACTCTTGAACTTCAATCTCAGAGGGTTTGTTCAAATCTTTTGCTCAAAGTTGGTTAATAAAATCACATCTCTTTGGATTTCTAATATAAGTAAGTGGTACTTTAATATCTTTTAATGCTTCAGCAAATCTATCCCACCCTACTGAATCACTTCTTTTTAAGGGTCTTAGTGAATCATTTATTAAATCAACAATATTACTTCCAGGAATTTTTTCATTTTCAATTATGACTGTAACTTCATTATACCAATGTATTTTACTTTTACTTGTTTCAACTAAGTTTAATAATAACTGTCCTTTTTATTATAAGTTTTTGGTATTAAACTGAGTATTTGAGCTGGTGCGTAAAGTGGATTTTCATCATTTTCTTTACTTTTAATGGATCGATTCTCCTCCAACAAAGATTCAGCATCAACTGAAGTTTTTAGATCTCTATCTTTATTTTTAAAACCAATTTTAGACTCATTTGAATCTTCATTAGATGTATCAGAATAAATTGGTAATCTGAATGGTTGACGATCCTCTTCGGTAAAATGAAGGTATCTTTGCAGTGTTTCTAAATATAACATCCATTTATTTCGGTCTTCCGTCTTACTATTCATAATATTTTGCATTTCAATATCTAATCGAGATAAACTACTATTAACCTTATTTTCTTGTTTTAATTTTTCAATCAATCTAGGTTCGATAAGTATCATTTTCTTTGCATTTTCTATATTAACTGGCTAGTCCACTCACTAATCCACTCAATATTGCACCTAATATTATTAGTAAGAAAGCCCCTCCTTTTTGTATAATTATATTTTTTCTTAGTTTACGTTTACACTTACGCACTTGTTCACGGAGTATATTTTTGTGTTTATTCAATTTTTGTTTATCTTGATCTTTAAGAGGTACTTTTCCTTGTAAAACTTTATGAATATACTCACAAATACAGTTAATTTCTTCTTCATCACAAGTTTTAAGTAATTCTCTTTGATATTTTGATTTAAGCGTATGCAAAGCGTTTAGCAAATGTTTATGCGTTGTGAGTCGACGATGCATCATTTAGCAATGATTTGAATTGTTTGATTCTTGGTGTATTTAAACCTTTTTTGTGGGGGCGTAGACTGTAGAGAAAGCATTAAATGGGAAGACATTTGTCTTGATACGATAAAAATAATTGGTATTCTGTTTTAAATCTACCATTAAATATCCATGCGCCTCTAGAGTTGCATCCCTGTAGGCATCTTCAATGAATTTTGGGTTATCTGGTGACACTTGTCGTGCTAAATATCTTATTTGAGTTTTATCTCGAGGGTTTTTAAAATATATTATATAACTTGAGTTTAAAGATATGTCTCTTTTCCCTTTACCCTGATGAAATAAATTTTGTGTTAAGTAAAATACACTGAAATTCCTGTGATGACTACCTTTTGTAAATATATCTACAATCCTTCCATCGGACTCTCTCATTAGATCATCAATAATAACAAGATGTGGGTTTTCACCATTAAACATACTAAGATTTGGAATTCCTTGACGATCGTTAACATTTGGTAGATTATATTATAAAGGTTGCATTTCATCAAAGCACCATGTGATCTGATTAAACTCACAATTACATATTTCTGTAACTGATTTTATGAAATTTGTTACAAAATTTGACTTCCCACATCCACTTGGTCCTGCCACAAGAGCAGTAAACGGATGTATAAAATGAAATATTACACACGTCTAAAGTTCTAAGGGGTGAAATATAAAATTAAAGTGTTGGTGTAGGTAAACAATTAATATATATTGTGTACTATAACTAATGTTTTTGGGAAATCAAACAAAATTTATGATTAATTTAAAATTTTATTTTCAAGCAATAACCACTTGTAAAATCACAAGAACAATGTAAAATTTTGTGATTATTTTTTGCAAATAAATAAATAATTACACACATAACGTTTGTTTAAATTTATGACATTCACCAAATCATTGTATTTTAGACATTTGTATTCTTATATATTAAAAATTCTATCATTCGTCGTTAACATTTTTAAAAATTGTTTTTCTGCTGTACCAAATTTCTAATGTACCAATTTAATATGGGAATGATGTTTTTTTGTTTGTAGGCACATAATGATTTCTTAAATTTACGCGAACACTACACATTGAATAAAACTATTATTTACGGATTTTATCGCGTTTAATTACTTTAATTTATTTTTATTATTATCCCGACGTTTCGGGTGCTTTACAGCGCCCATGGTCACCAGTCCCCCCCGTGACCATGGGCGCTGTAAAGCACCCGAAACGTCGGGATAATAATAAAAATAAATTAAAGTAATTAAACGCGATAAAATCCGTAAATAATAGTTTTATTCAATTGTAGGCATATTTTAATTCTTCGGTCACGTCAAAATATGAAATGCCGTGCACGTGTGTTTCGCAATAACGAACAGATTTTTTGTCTTTTGGCAACATATAATTGAAAGGATAACTTGTCCGAAACAAATAATGATCGATAAACGCATAATTTTTATTAGATAGTTTTACGTCTAGAATAGCCATTTCTCTACATTGAAAATGTTTATGAGGATATGTAATGTAAAATCCGTCCATGTCGATGATGTATCTAATATGTTTTAGATTTTGTTTCATTTTGAACCAAAAAGTTAAAAGTATTTACACGTCACTAAAAATATGTTTGTTCCAACAAACTTCACATAATAATGCTTCATTACTTCCCATCATCCCATCTCTTCCTTCTGCTCTTGTCTTCCTGTAATTTAAATAAAGAAAAAGAATCACATTCACTAATGATCAACTAATGACTGTCATTGTTAAAAAAGTATTTTTTAACTTTTTCACTTTCTGCTATTGTCTTTGTATTCAGGGCTAGGAAATGTCCGCCGCACTGTTTCAATGCGTGTTGGCGAACTTCACATGCCTTACAGACATACAGGTTTACTCACGATGTTTTCCTTCACCGCCGAGCACGTGGTAAATCAACACTTAAAATTGCAATTAACAATTTAATTGGTGCCGGCGGGGATCGAACCCAGGTCGCGTACTGTAAAATTTACAGCTTGCGCTAACCATCTGAGCTACCACGGCTTAATCATACACACACACACACACACACACACACACACACACACACACACACACACACACACACACACACACAATATTTAAATATAATTTGTTAACACTAAATCATACACACGTAAGAAAATAACAGAAAGAAAAGTAAGTTTGTCAATAGAATAAACACTTACGACGACGATAGATAGTGTACGGTCAAACGACCATACACTAACTCCATGACTGTAGCTGCTTGGTCTTATATAGCACCAGTAAGTAATAATTCTAATCTAAAGAATTTCTGCAGTGAAACTGATAGTAACTTTATGCGTCAACAAGCTTATCTCACATTCTGTTGCATATCTCAACATTCCTTCGTGTTGCGTCTTGTTCGATGTATCGATGACTCAAATACGATTTGTATATCACAAAAGAAATGCGATTTAATATTTAGAAATCAGTATAATTGATCATTCCTACGTTAGTCATTGAGTAGATTGTACTGTAATAATCTACTAATAGCAGTAATATCATAGATACACTAGATGTACAACAACATCTGAAAAAGATTCATCCCAGTCTATAAAATAATGATTATGCTGCTAATAGACTGCCCATGTATACACACGTACCAACGTATATGATATGCAATTTGGATACAGATGATAAACCAGGGTCACATTGGGTAGCTTTATATATCGATACGAATGACGTCGGTCAATATTTTGATTCATATGGACGATCACCCGTACGATATCATCTAGAGTTTTTAAAAAGGAATTGTAAAAGATGGAATTGGAATGTTGATAGGATTCAGAATGAGTGGACTTCAGTTTGTGGCGAATATTGCTTAATGTACTTGCTATATAAGTTTCAGGGATGTTCAATGCATAGTTTTACGGGTATATTTACAGGGAACATATTGTAGAATGATATTTTAGTGGATGAGGTATTTCGCTCCTATTTTATAGACAATAAGTAATAAGATTTTGTATTTTGTAAATAAAAATTGTAACAAAATTATGTAATGTGTTTTATTGATGATTCAGATTAGCGTTGTGGATAGGAACAAAGAAGTATAATACAATAGTACTGATAAGCCGACGCATACGCCGAGGAAAAATAGACAATGAAGGTATTCAATGAACAATAGATAAATATATAAGAACAATGGGGCGCTAATGACGGTGGAGGCCCTCACCGGATATCAATTAAATAAGAGTTAATTCATCTGCACATCTCCGGAACCGTGCATCCTACGAAAAAACGGACCGCAGAGTCGTGGTCAGAGCATGTCAAATCCTTTTTTTATTTTTAGGATCGTGAGTCGACGAACGTTGTTTTTGAACTACCTAACTACTAATATTTGAAGGTAGAATTCAATAGTATTATCAACATTTACACCACGCGCGAGACTGACTGGGATAGAATACTCGAAGGCTCTAACTCCGCGCTTAGAAAACTTTATAAGTAAAGTGATGTTAAAGCATAAATTAATAAAAACATAAATAATAAAGCTTATGGTTCATAAAAGATAGCTTGATCTCTGCGACAGCTGTCAGTAAAATCACGCCTCTGAAGTCCTGAATTTCTTAGTAGTACAGACAGTACCTGTCAACTACTAAGAAATTCAGGACTTCATAGGCGTGATTTTACTGACAGCTGTCGCAGAGATCAAGCTATCTTTTATGAACTATAGTATCGATTAGCGGAATCATTTTTTTCTCAAGTTCTTAACTTAATGTCATTAATATTTTTAAACTTTAAATTAACCTTTTACCCGTAACTGTTTTTACTACAAAAATTAACTTTTTGAAGTGACTTCGATAGAATCGTTGGGACTTGAAACTCCATGAAACGAAACGAAAAACGACACCAAAAAAGACAAACATTCATACATCTATGGGATTTAGCCCGCAAGGGTGTACAGTATACAGTGGTTTTTATTGTTTGATGGAAAAATTTTTGGTGTAATTTTATTGTTATCTAATTAATTTACTATAATCTATTTTGGTATATTTTTCATTAGTTGTGAATGAAATAAGTACACATAAATGTTTCAATTGTTACGCAGTAATCGATTGCTAACCGATGTTGGTTAGTAATCGATTATATCTACTATCGTTAGCATAAATAAAAAGTACGGTTGCAACCTGTTTTAATCAATAAAACAACCAAATGTAACTAATATTTTTAATCGATACTTCGGTACAGTCAATTACCATATTTTTTATTATAAACATATTTGCCGGAACGGCATTGACCGCGCTTATCTTGAGTCGATAATTTCAGGCAGTACAAACTTTTCCTATAACTTGAGTAACATATTAAAAATCCAAAAATAGCCGTCGACAAGTTTGCAGTCATTGTTATTCTCCATTGTTGTTTATCCAAAGATAGGATATTCCTTTTTTTACGTTTAGTGACGCAAGGGGTATAAAAGTCTTTTACGTTGATAATAGATAACTTAGAAATAACGATATCCGCAGTAGAAGCAGAGTGACCGACATAGCCCAACGGATTAGTAAGCTGAAGTGGCAATGGGCCACTATATAGGCCGCAATGAATGCAAGTTAGCAAAAAATTTGCTAACTTGCAAATTTTCCCGCCATTAAGGTCCCGAGCGAACGGGAGTAAAACTTGTCGAGAGCTGTCAGAGCTTACAGGTTAATAAATGGAAACACAGCCAAAAAATATATATACTAAATTATTGTACGAGTAGTTTTGTAGTATAAAATATTAATACTAATACAATTATTGGTTAATAATCAACATCATCATTGCCACTCTCCGCAACTCCAGGAACATAAGCTTTTCCACGCAAACCACGGTCCTGAACCACATGGATCAATTGACTTCCTGCAGGTTTTAAGAAGCTGCCACTTCAGAAATTTTTTCCCCAATCGGCTTTCTGTTCTACGAGCTATATCGCCAATCCATTGCCACTTAATTTCCTGATGAAAATATTCAAATTAATTAATTTATTTCTACAATAATTCTTGATGAACGTGAATTTATTTTAAATCAGTTGCGAAGCAGCCTGATAAGCAAACTACGGCAAAATCCTTCCTATAATGCAATTTGTGGTCGAGGGAGGTCTATGTTCAGCAATAAAATTTTAATAGGCCGTAAGAATGTAATTAATATGTGAAAACATAGCCAAAATATAAATAATAAATTATTGTATTATTAGCATATGAATAAAACAATGATAATAATACATACATACATAAACACTCACGCCACCCAGAGGGGTAGGCAGAGACTACAGACTTCCATTTGGCACGATCCTGACACACCTCTCTCGCCTCCTTCACATCCATACACCTACGCATACATGCTCGTCGGTTAAGGGTACTCCTAATTTGGCCCGTTTTCAATAAATCGCCAATTTGGTCGATACATTTTCGCCTAGGACGTCCCTTTCCGACTCTGCCATTCACTTCTGTAACATAAATTTTCTTTGTCACTCTTTCGTCATTCATTCTTTCCACATGACCAAACCATCGAAGCATTCTTTCTTAATCCTGGTCACAACATCATCTTGCAAACCACATTCTTCCCTTATTACACAATTTCTTACCCTGTCATTCAGATTCAGCCCTTAACGACCGCATTTCTACTGCGTTCATTCTACTCTCGTGCTTCTTCTGCCCCACCCTACTTTCACTACCATACGTTAAAGTAGGGACCAACACAGCATTGTGATTGCCATACGTGCCTTTTTCGACACATTTTGACTCTTCACAATAGAGTGCAGGGCCCCATTTACTCTATTTCCCGCATTCACTCGTCGTTCTATATCCTTATCATATCTCCCATCCCTGCTAAATACGCAGCCCAAATATAAAAACTCATCTACTTGCTCGATCAACTCCCCTTCTATTCTTATTTCACATATCGTTTTACTTTCTTCTCTTTCAAAAACCATAACCTACGTCTTACTTGCGTTTACTTTCATACCCCTTTCTTTTAATGACCTTTTAATAATAATACAATAGTTTATAAATCATCACTACTACCCTTCGCAAGTCCAAGAACATATGCTTTTAACAAAGTATGCCACAAAGCATGGTCCTGAGCCACATGCATCAATCGACTTCCTGCAGGGCTTACGAGGCTGCCACTCGAGAACTTTTTTCCTCAATCGGTTGTCTGTTCTTTGAGCTATATGGCCGACCCATTGCCACTTAATTTCCTGATATTAATATTCATTTTAATTTATTTACTTCAACGATAAGTCTTGGTGATCGTGAATAAGTTTTAAGTCTTTGTCGTTTTGAGAGTTTGGTTCCTAAATATAGGGTTAGAAGACTAATTACTGAGTACCAGTGTCCTATCGCATATTTAGTAGAACATAATTTTTTTTATTGTATTGAATGAAAATATTATATTCTACTAGATTATATTAAAAAGTTCTTATTGAAATTTTTACATTTACTACTGTATTCGAAGAAAACTAGGTCCTGGGAAGAATCAACAAGAATTATAACAATAGGTGGCCCAGTTACTGTCAAAACTCATTTATGAAACAATTTGCAAGTAATCACATCATCACAGGGGTGTTATCAATAATTTACTCATTTATATTAAAAATGGATACTTTAACAAATTTTTTTGAAATTTATAAATGAATGACCCGATAGGCTCACAGGGATTTGCCCATTCGCAGAGACGACTATATAATTTATATAAATAATAATTTCGGTCGGCAGACCACCCCACATTTCGGTCACCTCGTGAGCCAAGTCCAGATATTTTTTTTGCTTATCTGTTTCGGCTTTCACGAGGTGCTCATCATACGGAATGGTAATGTCAACCAAAAATATCCTTGACTGTGCCCGGTCTAACAGCAATATCAGGCTTATTCGCAAGAATAATACTGTCTGTGAGGATGGCCAGGTCCTAGTAGAGCCTGGCGCGATCATTTTCGAGCACGGCTTCCGGCAAGTACTTGTAATACGGCAATTTCCGGTCCACGAGACTGTATTTTAGAGCGAGCTGAAGTATTCTTGCTACTAAGTTGTGACTGTGCAAGTATTCAAAGTTAGAAAGCGCCGAGCAACCCGAGATAACATCTCGTTTCACCACTTTGCCAATGACCGCGTCAATGAGGAGTGGTTCCTCGGTTCCACGACCACCGCCCCGACATCCATTTTGAGCGCGCAACTTCACCTGTTTTAGCTCCAGGTGACGACTTATTCTTGCGCTCAAAATGCACGTCAGTGTCTTATAGACACGTGTCCGTGGTATTTGCTCGGGTTTGTGGTATCATTAGGAACCAAGTATAGTGTATCCCAGTAGTGAAGAAGCTCGGGAGCGACATCTGGTCGAGAGCCTCTTGAAACTGTTCGGCGAGCATAGTGTGACACACTATGAACTCCTTCAGCCAGTAATGATGCCGCCCGTCGTGCCTCGGACATTACCAGTTTGGGCCCTACGGACCGCCTCAGCCACGTCTTCCGGTGTTATTGTGTCGTGGTCTATAGCCGTAACACTTGCACCCTGGCTCGCTACAATTTCCATCCAAGGGCCCTCGCTGTGGTTTACGGTCTCTGACCACAGGCCACGCCAGAATGCGACAGTGTCGGCCTGATCCGGTCCTGGGTCCGCTCCAAATAACTTTGGTTGCTGCAATGATTTATAGAGCCTCTTCTGATCACTCTGAAACAGATGATTCTAGTTGAACCGCCTTGACCTCTCGGTAAATCGTCGAATCCGCTTCCCCCAAGCAGCGATTTTTTGCTTCAGGTCATCTATGCGTTCCGTAAGTTTCTGCGTGATATCCGGCGGGGACAAACTGATATTTGTTCCAGCAAATGCCATTTTAACGGTGCACACAACCCTCGGTCTATTATTACCCGACCTGAAGCATGTCAGTCTACGATAAGGGCCCTTGCCTTTGCGATACGGTCCTCGATTCTTTTTCTCCAGACTGGGATGGCGCTGCTTTGTTTAGTAGCGCGTCCAGCCATGGGAAGTTTGTCTGCCACTGCAGCACCAAAAAAATTGAGTCCGTTTCGCAAAGGTCCCGGCAGGCTTCCAAATAGGTCACCAGCATTGGGTTAAGAGCCCTCACGACAGGCCGATTTTGCTTGCTTAGGGGCATACGGGGAAGTCGCGGTCGATTTTCGAGAGGCATGCTGGGCATTTCTAAAATCGCCTCTTCCGATAGACTCCTCATTTGCTCTAGTTCGTGGGAGACCATTTCAACATTGCTCAAAACAACCACACCTGGAACATCCATGGCGGTGGATCGGTGGCGGAACATCCTCTGTGCTATCATCCATTTTATGGGCGCCAGTTGGCAAGAGACGCGCAAGCCCGGCACCGTTTCGTGGTTCGGTCATATGCACAAATGGAAGTTTGCACCCACAATTTTGCCTAGACACGGCGCTCACACTTCTTGGAAGGGCACTGACTGACTGCGCCGACGTAGCAGTTTTGTCACATAACCGTTACGTTAGCGGGCAATGGGGTCGTCACTTCCCTACGCCTTATTATTATTATTCCATCATAATCATCAGAGGTAACAGTCATTTATTGCCACATTTGTTAAAAGTTGGAGGCAAACCACATAGGCTACTTACTAACCATCACGTGTACTATTCGGTTATTAGTTATTTAATTGGCATAATAATTCTTTTATAGTATAGGGAGAAAAACGAGCACAAAGTCCACCTGATGGTAAGTGGTTGCTGTGGCCTATTGACTCTACATCTATCCTCAGTGGCGGCGCAAGACCTAAATTTTATGTGGGCAAGATACATTTTGCGAGGCCCTCTGCCCACGCAAGAAGACGGAGTATATAAAATGTAAAACAAAACACTTGACATTATGAAATTTTTATTTTTACAAAATCATTAAGTACTAACGCACCATGGGCACCTGTCGACAACTTAAAACAGAGAAGGCTACAGAAGCGTTGGCACCTCTGAGGACTAAGATGCGACACCTCAGCCTGTAGCTTTAAAAAGAGAAGACTACAGAAGCGTTGGCACCTTTGAAGACTAAGATGCAACACCTCAGCCTGTAACTTTAAACAGAGAAAGCTACAGAAGCGTTAGCACCTCTGAGGACGAAGATGCAACACCTCAGCCTGTAACTTTAAACAGAGAAGGCTACAGAAGCGTTGGCACCTCTGAGGACTAAGATGCAACACCTCAGCCTGTAACTTTAAACAGAGAAGGCTACTGACGCGTTGGAACCTCTGAGGACTAAGATGCAATACCTCAGCCTGTAACTTTAAACAGAGAAGGCTACAGAAGCGTTGGCACCTCTGAGGACTAAGATGCAACACCTCACCCTATAACTTTAAACAGAGAAGGCTACAGAAGCGTTGGCACCTCTGAGGAGTAAGATGCAACACCTCACCCTATAACTTTAAACAGAGAAGGCTACAGAAGCGTTGGCACCTCTGAGGAGTAAGATGCAACTCCTCAGCCTGTACATTTAATCAGAGAAGGCTACAGAAGCGTTGGCACCTTTGAGTACTAAGATGCAACACCTCAGCCTTTAACTTTAAACAGAGAGGGCTACAAGAGCGTTGGCACCTCTGAGGACTAAGATGCAACACCTCAGCCTGTAACTTTAAACAGAGAAGGCTACAGAAGCGTGGGCACCTCTGTGGACTAAGATGCAACACCTCAGCCTGTAGCTTTAAACAGAGAAGGCTACAGAAGCGTTGGCACCTTTGAAGACTAAGATGCAAACCTCAGCCTGTAACTTTAAACAGAGAAGGCTACAGAAGCGTTGGTACCTCTGAGGACTAAGATGCAATACTTCAGCCTGTAACACTAAACAGAGAAGGCGACAGAAGCGTTGGCACCTCTGAGGACTAAGATGCAACACCTCAGCCTGTAACTTTAAACAGAGAAGGCTACAGAAGCGTTGGCACCTCTGAGGACTAAGATGCAACACCTCAGCCTGTAACTTTAAACAGAGAAGGCTACAAGAGCGTTGGCACCTCTGAGGACTAAGATGCAACAACTCAGCCTGTAACTTTAAACAGAGAAGGCTACAGAATCGTTGGCACCTCTAAAGAGTAAGATGCAACACCTCAGCCTGTAACTTTAAACAGAGAAGGCTACAGAAGCGTTGGCACCTCTGAGGACTAAGATGAAACACCTCACCCTATAACTTTAAACAGAGAAGGCTACAGAAGCGTTGGCACCTCTGAGGACCAAGATGCAACACCTCAGCCTGTAACTTTAAACAGAGAAGGCTACAGAAGCGTTGGCACCTCTGAGGACTAAGATGCAACACCTCAGCCTGTAACTTTAAACAGAGAAGGCTACAGAAGCGTTGGCACCTCTGAGGACTAAGATGCAACACCTCAGCCTGTAACTTCAAACAGAGAAGGCTACAGAAGCGTTGGCACCTTTGAGTACTAAGATGCAATACCTCAGCCTTTAACTTTAAACAGAGAAGGCTAGAGAAGCGTTGGCACCTCTGAGGAGTAAGATGCAACACCTCAGCCTGTAACTTTAAACAGAGAAGGCTACAGAAGCGTTGGCACTTCTAAAGAGTAAGATGCAACACTTCAGAATGTAACTTTAAACAGAGAAGGCTACAGAAGCGTTGGCACCTCTGAGGACTAAGATGCAACACCTCAGCCTGTAACTTTAAACAGAGAAGGCTACAGAAGCGTTGGCACCTCTGAGGAGTAAGATGCAACACCTCAGACTGTAACTTTAAAAAGAGAAGGCTACAGAAGCGTTGGCACCTCTGAGGACTAAGATGCAACACCTCACCCTATAACTTTAAACAGAGAAGGCTACAGAAGCGTTGGCACCTCTGAGGAGTAAGATGCAACTCCTCAGCCTGTACATTTAATCAGAGAAGGCTACAGAAGCGTTGGCACCTTTGAGGACTAAGATGCAACACCTCAGCCTGTAACTTTAAACAGAGAAGGCTACAGAAGCGTTGGTACCTCTGAGGACTAAGATGCAATACTTCAGCCTGTAACTTTAAACAGAGAAGGCGACAGAAGCGTTGGCATCTCTGAGGACTAAGATGCAACACCTCAGCCTGTAACTTTAAACAGAGAAGGCTACAGAAGCGTTGGCACATCTGAGGACTAAGATGCAACACCTCAGCCTGTAACTTTAAACAGAGAAGGCTACAGAATCGTTGGCACCTCTAAAGAGTAAGATGCAACACCTCAGCCTGTAACTTTAAACAGAGAAGGCTACAGAAGCGTTGGCACCTCTGAGGACTAAGATGAAACACCTCACCTTATAACTTTAAACAGAGAAGGCTACGGAAGCGTTGGCACCTCTGAGGACCAAGATGCAACACCTCAGCCTGTAACTTTAAACAGAGAAGGCTACAGAAGCGTTGGCACCTCTGCGGACTAAGATGCAACACCTCAGACTGTAACTTTAAACAGAGAAGGCTACAGAAGCGTTGGCACCTCTGAGGACTAAGATGCAACACCTCAGCCTGTAACTTCAAACAGAGAAGGCTACAGAAGCGTTGGCACCTTTGAGTACTAAGATGCAATACCTCAGCCTTTAACTTTAAACAGAGAAGGCTAGAGAAGCGTTGGCACCTCTGAGGAGTAAGATGCAACACCTCAGCCTGTAACTTTAAACAGAGAAGGCTACAGAAGCGTGGGCACCTCTGAGGACTAAGATGCAACGCCTCACCCTATAACTTTAAACAGAGAAGGCTACAGAAGCGTTGGCACCTCTGAGGAGTAAGATGCAACACCTCAGCCTGTACATTTAAACAGAGAAGGCTACAGAAGCGTTGGCACCTCTGAGGACTACGATGCAACACCTCAGCCTGTAGCTTTAAACAGAGAAGGCTACAGAAGCGTTGGCACTTCTAAAGAGTAAGATGCAACACTTCAGAATGTAACTTTAAACAGAGAAGGCTACAGAAGCGTTGGCACCTCTGAGGACTAAGATGCAACACCTCAGCCTGTAACTTTAAACAGAGAAGGCTACAGAAGCGTTGGCACCTCTGAGTACTAAGATGCAACACTTCAGACTGTAACTTTAAACAGAGAAGGCTACAGAAGCGTTGGCACCTCTAAAGAGTAAGATGTAACACTTCAGAATGTAACTTTAAACAGAGAAGGCTGCAGAAGCGTTGGCACCTCTGAGGACTAAGATGCAACACCTCAGCCTGTAACTTTAAACAGAGAAGGCTACAGAAGCGTTGGCACCTCTGAGGACTAAGATGCAATACCTCAGACTGTAACTTTAAACAGAGAAGGCTACAGAAGCGTTGGCACCTCTGAGGACTAAGATGCAACACCTCAGCCTGTAACTTCAAACAGAGAAGGCTACAGAAGCGTTGGCACCTTTGAGTACTAAGATGCAATACCTCAGCCTTTAACTTTAAACAGAGAAGGCTAGAGAAGCGTTGGCACCTCTGAGGAGTAAGATGCAACACCTCAGCCTGTAACTTTAAACAGAGAAGGCTACAGAAGCGTGGGCACCTCTGAGGACTAAGATGCAACGCCTCACCCTATAACTTTAAAAGAGAAGGCTACAGAAGCGTTGGCACCTCTGAGGACTAAGATGCAACACCTCAGCCTTTAACTTTAAACAGAGAAGGCTACTGACGCGTTGGAACCTCTGAGGACTAAGATGCAATACCTCAGCCTGTAAACTTTAAACAGAGAAGGCTATAGAAGCGTTGGCACCTCTGAGGAGTAAGATGCAACACCTCAGCCTGTACATTTAAACAGAGAAGGCTACAGAAGCGTTGGCACCTCTGAGGACTAAGATGCAACACCTCAGCCTGTAACTTTAAACAGAGAAGGCTACAGAAGCGTTGGTACCTCTGAGGACTAAGATGCAATACCTCAGCCTGTAACTTTAAACAGAGAAGGCTACAGAAGCGTTGGCACCTCTGAGGAGTAAGATGCAACACCTCAGCCTTTAACTTTAAACAGAGAAGGCTACTGACGCGTTGGCACCTCTGAGGACTAAGATGCAATACCTCAGCCTGTAACTTTAAACAGAGAAGGCTACAGAAGCGTTGGCACCTCTGAGGACTAAGATGCAACACCTCAGACTGTAACTTTAAACAGAGAAGGCTACAGAAGCGTTGGCACCTCTGAAGAGTAAGATGTAACACTTCAGACTGTAACTTTAAACAGAGAAGGCTACAGAAGCGTTGGCACCTCTGAGGACTAAGATGCAACACCTCAGCCTGTAACTTCAAACAGAGAAGGCTACAGAAGCGTTGGCA